TTTTCCTGGCTATATTGCATTACAATTTCTCTGCAACCTATCTATGCCTGTTGAGAGTTACCTCAACAGTGCGCACCCTCCACGGCCGCTTTGCCCAGGGCCTCCGTGTGCAGCTTGATCATCTAATGTAAATGCTGGGGACATTTTCATAGCTGTCACCTGTGTCACAAATGAATGTCGTTTCCCCAGAGCAAATGGAAACTTAAGGAATTAGGCAGCAATAAAAGAAATAATTGAAGCTGGATGAGCTTTAGATCTAAGTTTCATGTTAGTGCTCTAATAATACTCTCAGGAAACCTTTGCTTCGAGAGAATGAACGTGGTTCCTGCCAAGTACAATCCTTGCTCTATGGCTTATTTGAGAATATTATCTGCTATATTTGAGTTTTGCTGTAGACATAGGAATGCATCTAAATTAATTTAGAACAGAGGCAATAGATGATTAATATTTGAGATAATTAAAACTTGCTTCTAAATAGATTTCCCTGGGAAATCTCTCTGGAGATTTTTCTAATTACATTGGTGCCAAAATATAGTAAATAAAAAATAAATCCCTGTTTTGTAATTTTCAGAAATGGCAGGAGAAAAGTATACTTGATAGTCATATCAGGAGCAATAACCTGATGAGATTTTTGTTTATTTAATAACAAATTACCTAGTGTGCGCAGGTTTAGTGATGATGATAGCTTTTAGTCTTTCAAGCAAATGTGAGGACCATTACTCTGAAACCAAGTAGAGTGGATTTCAGCAGGTAATTTCCTCTTAATTATAATGTTGAAGAAAAATGACTGAATCAGAGAATGCCAGGGGGAAAGTTGTATAATCACCTCTGTTATGCTGTGATCTCTGAAATTTCTCATGTTTTCAAGGATTTGCACTCTTTAGTGTGCATGGTCCCGTAAAGTGCTGTTAACTATTGACATCGTCTTTCATATATTACTTCACTAAACACCAAAACACATCTGGCAGACCCAGTTCTGAATTGTTAAAGCCGCTGGCTTGCCAGCGGCACTGGAGCGGTATACTGGCTAATAAACCCTTCACGGGCTGGATTTCCTTGGAGGGCTCAAAGAGGCAACGGCCTCATCGCTGCTGCAGTTAAAATCATCCAGAGGAGCAGCTGTGCAAGTCTCCCCAGAAACTCTGTGAATGTCTCGGTTGCATCCAGCCCTGTCTCCCTTCTCTTTATGTGCAAGGTGTTATGTGCACAGGGTTTTATGGGGAGGAAGGCTGTGGTGGCCTGGCTGCCTTGTCCTCTGTCTTACTCTTTTAGTATTAGACTTAAGTATTCTTGTTCCTTTAACAGCTGTAAAATTGATACCACGAATTAAATTCTTACAAGCTACCTATAATTTTTAATTCAAATAAATATTCTTCGCTGAAGGGTCACTTTTCTCACATTGAAGCATGGTTTATTCATTGAATAGTCCAACTACTCATCAGAAGTTAATGTGGCAAAATCTGACACCATCTTATACAGCTCTGTAGCATGCATTAGCATGATGTAAAACACCTGTGCTAAATTCATTCCAGTAAAGCTTTTAGTTTAGACTATGTATTTTGACTGAGCGTTTCAGTGCACTTTTGTTGTATCAACAGAATGTTGATATGATTTAGTGAGCTTAAACCACTTTTGCAGCTGTTTCTATTGCTGTTTACAAAAGTAAATTTCCTGCTTCCTTGTAGTTAGTAGCTGACATGGTACATTGAATATATTCTTAATAACAACAAAGCTGCTTTAAACACATTATTGAATACAGATGAAAATTACCAATTCGCTATTAATGAAACTGTGGGCTCTGATATTTTGTCTGTTTAAATACAATGTAAAGGTCAAAACCGAATCTGAGGTCTAGACTCAGAGGCATTAAGAAACTGAAATCATACTGATGATAGGACCTGAGTTTCTAAGTGCTTCTCTGAATCTACTCCTCAATATATTTAGCAAATAACCTAGTTTGAATTTTGGGAAATGTCCCAAGTGTCTACATATCCAGATAACAGAGACTTCGGTCTGCTGAGAAATCGTTATGAATAATCGACATCAGTGTGCAAAAACCCTCTTTCTTTGCTTTAAACGTCTTCTTTGATGCCCCTTTTTCTTACGGCTCTTTAGTGCTTAGTTTATGTTCATACTGGCTTCATTGCTTTAATAACCTGCTGCTACATCACCTTTTAACCTTTGAAAAGAGTAGATTACTATCAATACTAGTGAAGGGGCACTCGCTGAGAATGGAAGTAACCTGTTAAAATTTAGTGTCTCCCAGACATTCCCTGTAAACAGTCGATGGTACAATTCATCTCATCTGAAAAGAGATTGGGTGATTTCTGCCAGAAGTGTCTGCTGCTTTTAAGTTAGACGGGTGCCAGGAACCATCCCACCGCTACCGGAGAAGCTCCTCCGGGCGCACGTGAGAAAGCGGCTTTTGCAGCAGAGCCTGGGGTGCTACCAGGGAGCAGTGGGACTGTGGAGATCCCAGGGACAAGCATTGTCACCCGTTTTGCTTTTTGGGACTTGATAGATCACTGTCGTGAATGCGTGGTTTAGAGGCCGCTTAAAGAATCACTATCAAAGGTATTAGGAGAAAGTTGTTTTAATAGAGGTTTATAAAGGTGCGACCTAACAGAATTCAGTGGCAAGGTTCACTCTATTACTTATTACACGGATGAAACATATAAAGGAAAATAATCTAAGGGTTTATATCTTAGGGACGATATGTGTTTAGCAGCACTTAATCATCAACTAGTCATTAACAAACTTTAGTAGCACTTAATCATTCACTAATTTAATATTTATGAAATAAGTGTTAGTAGAGTCTGCTATAATCACGACTTAATTATAGATTACGCTTACTATTAGTCCACAGATACAGACAGACAGAAATATGTGTATATATATGTACAGAAGGTATACCTGTTAAAAATTCCCCTTGATTTCAGTGAAGAAATATTCACGTTGAATTGTCTAGGCATTCCCTCTCAACGGGCGAAGGGTTGAGCTTTGAGGAGTGAAGGGGTTCCGCCCAGGCCCCGTCATCGGCGATGGTCCTCCGAATATCGCAGAGTCGAGAGGTCGCGAGCTCCGAGAGGCTCCCACCCAGAGGGAGATGCTGGGCGCAGCCCGCTGCGGTCCAGGAGAGCTCCAGGGGTCTCACTTAGGAGCACCCTTTATAGGTTTGCAAGATGGTTGGCTTTAGTCTTCCATAAATTTCCATCCGCGCCACAGTCCCAGGTGGTAATTACTAAAAATTCTCAGGGTTTCAACGTTGTTCTACTTGACGCCTGGGCCGGGCAGTGGGGGTACGTTCCCAGCCTCAGCCATGCAGTTTCTGATACGGTCAAGGAGCGCTCAACCGCCAGGCTCAGTGCACCAAGGCCGAGGTTTCATGGGAATTTCTGAGATCAACAAGCGGCCGGGGCCGGGGGGGGGCGGGAAATGCAGCACCACAGTCACGCAGGTCAGCGCAAGCTGCCAGGGCCCTCCTCTCTCCGACGTGGGAGCAGCCGCCTCTTAGGCTGTGCTTACAGGCATGGTGTTACTCCACGTCCTCTGAAGGTCCCTGGAGGGTGACTGCTGGAATGCGATCATTGGAATATAATGGATACTTTAAGAAACTTCATTCTTCACAATAAATGTTATTTATTTAAGCAGTTAGTGTTAAAACAGTTAAATCAGGTAAATAGCCTTCTGCTAGAAAATGCGGAGTTACTGATCTGAAAAATTCATCTATTATATTCTCTGGCAATGCCTCTTCTGATTCCTCTTTTATTTTGCTATTTTGGGGTGCATATGCATGTATACAATTTGTGACACATGCATGGGCTGTCTGTGCTTGTTCCTTGTCATTGAAACAGGGTTTGAACAGTGGGGAGGGTTCATTCCAGGGCTACTTAAAATCCGCTTGCAAAACCGCGTTTTCTGTTACCACTGATACGACAAATGTATTCTCCTTTTTGTTTTCTGACGTTGTGCTTGGAGCTGGCTCTGTTATCTAATAGTAAGTGGCGCTGGTAATGCTCAGCCTCCCGCTGCGAGGCAGAAGGCCTGTGTTACAGGTGGGGAGGGCCACAGGTGTCCGGGCACTTCACACAAGCTCTTGTGACCGTCTCAGCCCTGCGGAGCGGGGCAGGCCCACCTCTTCAGTGAGGACGGCGTGCATGTGAGCTTTTCGATTGTCATGCCAAAATTGCTAGACCCGTACAGTTCAGCTGCAGAAAGAGCATGTGTTGGAATATGTATGGAAGCGCTACAGGTCCTATAATCTCTGTATTTTACTTCTTAGAGATGAGGATTTTGAAATGTATTCGTTCTTCATCACTCGGCTTTGGTGAAGAGTAAAACCTTCAGATGCTGCTGTTTGATTTGTATGTAAGAGTCCATTTAGGCTGCATGGTGGGTTTGCCCAGGCAACCCTGGTGCTGTTTTCTTTTTGTTTCCTCTAAAAGAGAAGCGTGTGAATGTCACATTAGCTGGACTGTCCTGTATGCAGAACTATAGTCTGACTTTTCAGAAAATAATATAACACACATCTTTCCATCTTCAGCAACAAGACACAGTAACTTTCAGGACAAGCTGAATAAGTGTTGGAATTTTTAGAGTATTTAGAAGTTTCTTGAACTTCAAAGGAGTTTTAATAATATGTTAAAATATTTTTGAAAGGTTCGTTAACTTTAAGCCGTGCCCATCTTGTGTTGTTTAAACATTTCAGTAGTTACAAAACAGGCCACTGCTTCTGTCTGTAGTTAAGTAGACAGGTTTTTCAGCTCTCTTCTTTCCAAACCTCTGCTCATTTTTCTTACTGGACCTCTCAGATGTCACTGTAAGTTATTTTGGGGGGAGGCAAGGGGGATGCTTAGTAACAAACCCAGTTCTGAGGAAGGCAAATTGCAAGTTTTGTTTGTGATGGTCTGTTTACCAATGTTGCATTTTAATCCTTTACTAATTTTATGAGATGTGTAAAAATACAAAAATACGCAAGTTGCTTTGTTTTTGCCTTACAGGGCACACCAGCAAGTCGAGTCCGATACAAAGTAGATGTTGTCCAGTTTCCTTACAGTGCCAGCATTTTTGACGTGGATGAAAACTCAGGACGCGTAGTAACCCGAGTAAACTTCAATGAAGCGCCAAGTACAGTGTTTAAGGTATGAACTCATATATTGTCAGTAATGGAATTCCTTTTACCTTTGTGTTTCTCTGTGTTGCTTTATATTGCATAGAAAGATGTGAAATTTTTATTTTGTTTGTTTCTTTTCTTCCCTAATTTCTTCCTGGCACATCTTTTGTGCCTTTTTGACTTCAGAACGTCTTGAATGGATGTAATTGCTACTGCTAGGAGGGCAGAAGAAACAGGGAGGCAGCTGAAGGAAACCTCAGTTTTTGAAAATTACCTTGCTGATCTCTTTGTTTTCAACAGGGCCGTCAGCGTAGCAATTTTGTGAGGACTTGGTAGGAATGGCGGGATATCTTGTAAAGAAAGTTACTGCACAGTTGCATAGTTTGGGACTTCCTGTTCACAAGTGCTGTAATGTAAAAACATTGGCTTTAAGGAGACTTAAATTACTATTGTGTCGTTATTGTTCCTGAAGAGTCTCAAGTGTAGTTAGTGCGTTTTAATCAAAATCATTAGGACAGCTCTCCCCTCTTAAATCCATGAGTGGAGGGAGTAGTTAAAAATGAAAATTAAAGTGTGTCAGTAAGCAAAAAAAAAAGTATCTATAATATGTGGGGGTTTACATGTAATTTCCCTACTTGGAAACTGCCCACCTTTTGTATGGTCATTAAGGTGTGTTTTGTTTCTTCTTTCAGTTATTTATTTTTGAAATGAAGATTAAAGACGGGTTTATTTGCATACTTTTCCATTACGAGGAATAAAGCTGTCCACTGTTTTCCACTTCTGAGTGTCCCATCAAACACTACTGTGAATTTCAGTAGCGTTGAAATGCTGTCACTGTTTTAGGAACTGAGGACAGTGCTAATTTGAGTTCTTTTCAGTTTTTAAGTAACGAAGTAAAACTCAAAGGGGAAGAGAATTATCTTTTGGTTAACATCACCAGAGTGTAGCTTTTCTGTTGTTGCACTTTTTATTTTTACTTCTCAGTAATCATTTTGTGTGGCTGTTTTCTGAAGTTGTGATACATAACACACAGGTGATGTGCACGTGGACATGGAGCAATGTTTCTATATGAAGACTGCTCTATATTAGGACAGACCAATGGTAAATTTAGCATTGCTTTTCAGAAAATATGGATGCTTAGGGAAGAAGCACAGGAAAGACTCCAGAAATTAATGATGTGGAGACTTTGAGTTGGTATTTGCATCTAGACCATTGGGCTTGTATCTGCCACTAAATCTTCTGTGAATTTTCCCAGTCAATTTTTAACATACTCATAGTTTCCGCAATTACGATATCTTGCACTGGTGAGTTCCCTAATACATTGGCTGAAAAAAGTGCCTTCTTTTGTTTTAAGCTGTCTCTTCACTGACCTATTCTGAGAATAGCTTGGACTCGCAGAAATGAGTTGAAAACCCTTTGCTAGAATGAGGTGCTGACCTGCTCCATCTAGTGACCTCCTGAAATAAGGACAAATTTAGAGAGAGAGGAAACTGGAAAACTCTCCATTACTCCATCTTCAGTGGGCTGGTCTCTCATCCTTTTGCTAGCAGAGGGCTTATCTTTGTATGAAAGCTGAAAACAGGTGAACCTATTTGTCCCAGCAGGCAAGCACAGATTAAATAAACAAGTAGACATGAGTAAAGATCAGATAAGCAAAAGATTTATAATAGGCCACCTTTGGAGAAGGTCTTCTGGTCTTGTCTGTGTTTTAACATACTGAAGATCTCCTTTCTAAGAGGACTTTTTTGGAGGGGAGGTAATGTTAATGTTTTTGTTTTCATATCAGACCTCAGTTTTCAATATTAATGTCAGCAAACAGAATTCTTACCTAGCACTTTTTCTGTTTTATTGGGAGTTATAGCTGGTTTTTCAATAAAAATTATTCCACTGCATAAATGTAGAATTGAACTATATACTATTAAAGAAGTTGAAATTGTTTCTGGAGTTCTGAGTAAGGACAGTCTGTGATTAGATGTGAAGGGAATCCCCTGAAAAATGTACTTGAAGCTGGCAATGTGTTTTGGAGAGGTATTTGTAGAAGACTGTTGTATTTGAATTCCAGTTTACTGTGTTTCTGTAAATTTTCTGGCAGATGGTTCAACTTGTGGATGGCTGTCACCTTTTTCCTCTATGTTTTGTTCTTATAGACAATGTATGATTTACAGTGAAAGAAAATCTCATCCGACTTGTTAGACAGTGAAAATATAAGAAGTATTGTTGCAAGTTAACATAAAAAATGTTCTTGCCTATACTAAGAGAGTGATTTTCTGTATTGTTTATAGCTAGTGGTCATTGCATATGATGATGGGGATCCTGTGAAGTTCAATACCACTACCGTAGAAATTGCTGTGCTGCAGCCTTCAGTAATTCCACGGTTTACGCAGGATGAATACAGGTAAAGCATTTATTCATTCACGTTACAACTGTTAGTTTTTAAGTTGAAGTAAGTTCCTGTTTGAATGCCAGTCTGAGATACGTGGGCTACGAAAATACTCTATTGTCAGTGTGGAAGTGCTTCCCCTGCATATATCTCAACTGTTGTACCGTCTGCTGTTGACTTTGGCTCATGGAAGGAAATAAGACACAAAAATAAGGTTTGAACCAAAGCACCAAAAACCTTGTGTACTTAGAGCTGATAACATATTTATTGATGCTAACTCTCCTTTAGGAAATAAATTGGATGCTGCTCTGAGGAGAGAGCAGCTCAAGTCCACCAGAAGCATGACTGTGTGAAATTACCTACGGGACCTTTTTGCAGCACTCCCATTTGACAAAGTGAGGGTGGCAAAATACTTTAGAGTTGCTTCTTTCTCTTGGCCACAAGCTATTTGGCAGCCAGCCATTCCCTAATCGTATCAGATAGTGGTGCAACTTTACTGTCTTCACAGGTTGTCTCCAAATGAAAAGATCTGGCCTGTAGGTGACAATGACAGTGAGGAGAGGTTTGTTTGAAATTATCCTCTCAGAAGCTGTTGAAAACGTCGGTCATATGGATAAACAAAACATTTTGTGCACTGAAATTGTAGTTGGGATCACCAGGTCTCTAAGTTAAGTTTCCTCCAGTCTGTTTGAGTGTGTTTTGATCCTGTACACCATTCATGTGGGACACGAGAGAGTTCAGACTCGACCTCTTTGACATTAGAAGTGCAGATGATAGTTGTTATTATTATTACAGAGTCATGATTTGATAAAGTTTACCCTCTGACAATTTAATGAAATCAACCCCATTTTCTTAAAATGAAGTTAAAAAAAAAAAAAAGCGGTGCACAGGCTGATTAGCTTGTTAAATTTTGTTACAGAGAACATGTTCATAAACAGTTTGACATCTGTGTAATAATAGGAAGTGATAGGATCGATGCAACCAGCCTCCCGATATCAAGAAGTTACATCCTTGCTGCAATACGCGCTCTTGATTCCAATGTAGCAACATAACCAATATCAGAATATAATGGATATTGTACATATATTTTCAAAACAAAGTACTGCAGGAAATCAGAAAACAGAAACTGAATGTAGTATTTTTGGCTTCAGTAGACCCTAATGAGAGGACTTGCTCAGCTATTTTAAGGAGTTTAGACAAAAATTCATGTTGTGCATTCTATTTTTCCTCATGATTAGAGTGTTAGCATTTTGAAGAAATACCTTAAAGAAATGAAAAATAGCAAAATACTGCCAGTCCTCTACTAATTTTGTATTTAGTCTTGAAACAAATACGAAATCTGAAGGAATAGTGCAAAATTATAAACTTTGCATTTAATGATAGTGCAAATGATAATCCTTTGCTGAAGGATTTTTCTTGAGAGAGATTTTTTCCTGCTGCTCCCTGTATTTTCTTAGCTATCTTCAAATGTATGAAGTGTAGTTTACATAATGTAGCAAAAGGTAGTCCTTTAAATAAAAATGTTTCCATTTGTTACTGTAATTTCAGATATCATGTCAGTGCATGCGAATTTTGAATAATATTTAAAGCCTTTCTGTAATAGACTTAACCTTCTGTGTTACTATTTTCAAGAAAAAAAATGAACAGGTCCTATATGCGTAGCTGTGAGGAGAAAAAAATGCATAGCTATGTTTAACAGAAGGACATGAAAATATCGTGCTATGAGACCTTTCCAAGATAATCCATGTTTTGGGTAAATTACAAAAGCTAATTTACCTAGCCTCAGGAGCCAGCCAGGGGGCTGGAGCTGCTAAAGAGACTCTTCACTGCTAGGGGCATACTTAGTAATGCACTTTGTTTCCTTTTTCTTTTATAACTTTACTCCGAATGACCTTCATCTTTAAGGAGCTTGTTCTTGAATCTTACCTGGTGACAAATGTGATCCCAAGCAGTGTGTTTTGGGAGAGGCTACAATGCAGCCACGGTGCTAGACCACTCAGGCCACATCCAGCATGAGTCCAGCCTCAGGAGTACTTGGAGCACGGTGCGGTCCACCTCTGCGAAGCAGAGGAGGTATCTTGCAGTTCTCAAGTCAACCAACACAGCGTCTTTGTTTGCAGGGTTGCGAGGAGAGACTTTAAGGTTCAGGAGCACAGGCAGAATCTGCATTGCCTTCTGAAAAATGAACTGAGCTCACACTTCCTGAGGCCACCTTGAGCTCCAGTTTTATCCCAGGAGATGGGAACTTCATTTCGCTACAACGAAGAAAGCTTACAGTAAAAAGTGGCTCATGTCCTCCAATACCCTTAGATGACAACTGAATAACCCATGTTATCTTCTCCTCCTTGCGAACTCATCAGGATTAGCTGAATAGCCTAGTTTCTCTTTCCAAAGAAATGGTGCTACTCCATTCTTGGTCAATTCTTCGATGCACACTGTCGTAAAAAAACTCTTAAAATCTTTTGGGGGCAGCAAAGGCAGTTTCTCATTTTCTTCAGTGTCAGAAATTAAATGAAAACAACCCCATAACTTTCTGATTCAGCTCTGAGACTCTCTCAAACATTTTGGAGCAGGACTAGTTTTGATTCCTAAGGTTTTCGGGGATTGTCACACTCTGCAAACTGCACTTTGTATTTGGTTTCTTGACAGTGATGCAAGCTGAAACTGGCAGGTTTCATATAACCTTATTTTTCAGTTGACATAGTATATCTTTAGGGTAAATGTCAGCACAGAGTAATGGTGCTGCTTGCAAAGTGATGAACTGTTGGATGTGGATACTAGAATTTCTGAAGGATTGAGAATTAGTGGCTTTAGAGTGGATTAGTATTGATCTTTTCTTGCATAATTATCATAATCTGGATTATTCCAGCCTTGTTTTCAAGCTGTTTTACAAACTTCATTTCTATTTAGAAAAAGGTCACAGTTGAACAATTTTACAGAATAAAGCTGCCTGCGCAGTTGCAGCATGTATTACAAATCAGAAATAAATACAAAAAATAGGAGAGAGGGGACCAGATGGCATGATCAAAAAGACATAGCCGCGTTAGGCAGATAGGGAGATAAAAGCGCAACTCTGCCTTGAGCTGTTGGTCTGGCAGCTCTCTGCTCTGTCAGAAGTATACCAGTGCATTGGGGTCTCTGCTTGGAGTCCTGTTCATACTACGGGAGGCTTTTGATTGATTATTATCCATGTCTTAAAGTGACTTCCACAGGAGGCAGCAGTCAAGTAGATGAGAGTCAGAGATTTGCATTTTATTCCCTGGCTCTCCCTCTGCATTATTCCATAATTTGGGACAAATTAATTAGTCTCTTTTTCTCCTCCACCTTCTTTGTTTGGATTATAAATTATACTGGAGACTTCTGAATGCTGCTGCTGCGCTATACATATAAAACAGCAAGGGGAAGCTAAGAGCTCTGAGAACCATAAATACAACATGGAGCAGTTGCTTTATGCCAAGTGAGTGATAAAATATAGTTCCTTCCCAATGACCGAGAGGGATGACCGCTAAAGTACATCAGAAAGATATCTGCTGCAACCAGTCAACTCTTCTGGTGGGAACTGGCAAGTCAAGGCCAAGCATCCCAGCAGCCTGGGTGCAGCATGCTTTAGGACATTCCTCCTCTGCGCACTCGCACCCTGCTAGAAGCAGAGCAGCATCAGCCAGCAGGTCTGCATGATCTGGTCCAGCAGCTTGTGAAGATGCCACTCCAGGGCTTGCAGGCCCTTAGTGTAGTTAATAAGGGCCAGATGATCCATGCCTAGTGCTCCTTGCACATGACCATCTTCTGGGGACACCGATACACTGCAACTCCCACGGATCTCTCTAGTGCATCCTTAGATGTGAGCCTAACTGCCTTTGCTGCACTTCAGCTGGTACTGCAGGCTATCCCAGTGCTCTTGGCCTGGATCTTGGTTCTGAAGCTGCAGAGTTTAACTGTGTTAGCAATGTGGATCCTTCTGTTCTTGGATCCTTGTCTGTCCTTGTCATGGATATTAAATATGATTTTGAGAGAGCTGACAGCAGCAGTGCTTGCTAAAGAAAGTGTTTTCCAAACCAAGCATTGTTTGCTTGTTCCACAAAAACGCGAAGTGTGAAGAGGCAAAAATCAAAAAGAATCAAAGGCCTATAACATGCAGACATTTAATTGTAGATGGCTAGTCCTCCTCTGAGCCCACTTGACCTTTTGCTGCTGCGGAAGGACACTGCTGCATCTCCCTGCGGGGCGGTTGGCAGTCAGTCGGATTTTGCTGGTTCTCCAAAGCACTGACGGCAGAGGGAGGCACAAGTGCCGAACCTGACGCGTGGGGCATTGTCAGCAGTGTACGGACAAAACCTGAGCTGCCACTTCCACTGCCTCTCTCCGGCTGAAGTGACAGCCTGGAGAGCAAGGGCCTGGGGGTGCGGAGCACAGCGAGGTGAAGAAAGGGGTGCTGGCACGTGGCACGTGAGACTTTCTGCATCGTTGTCCAAAAGAGGCTGTGGCCATTCGCAGAGTTTATTAAGGTTTTTAATGCTGACTTTGATCTCATTCTGCTTAGTGCTGGCAAAACAGCCACGTCTCTGGCAATAAATCACTTGCTTGGGAAAATCAAATCAGCTGTTTTGAGTGCTCCTTTCCCAAGCTATTATTTCTCTTGTCCTGACGGCTCCACCCAGATCATCTCTTGATTGAACTCCAGAGCAAGTAATTGATCCAGAAGTTTCCATTTCTTCCAAACAGGTAACGGCAGCACTTTCATTTCTTAATTAACAGATCATAATTAGTAGCGCTTCGGAACAGTGAAGACCAGATGTGAAGTGAACCTCAGATGAATAGAAAAAGATTTTTTTTTTAGCAAGCCTGTCCTCTTTATGAGTACGTTCTCATTTTTAAAAAGTAAAAGTTCAAAGGGACTTGGGATCTTTTTCTTGTTTTGTTAATCAATAAATATCACATTCTCTGCAACTAGAAGGTCGTTGCTAATAGCAATGTGCTGCTGTAGCAGGAAATGAAATGTTAACCAAAAGCAGCGT